TTAAAACAAATCCATCATCACAGTGTTGTATTCTTGCTTGTTTTTTTGGTCATATATTATATATTTATTAATTAGTTAACAATTATTTTACTGGACTTTGCGTTCCTACGCATAGAAGTATGTGATGAACAGTAAAACGAATGGCATATACAGTTGTAAATTAACATACGTCTCTATAAATATTTTCTCAATAATTGCACTGAACATCATGTAGAACTATCATTAACTCAGTAATGGACCAGGGATGCTATATAATGATATATATATATATATTCATAGTACTTGAGTAAAATATTATAATCCAGTACTGTAATATGACCAGTTTGGTCCAGTATGGAATGTTCTCAGCTTTTGAACAATACTAGTGTGCTACAATTAAAAGTCATCTTTAGGGTATGTATTGACTCAAATTCAAAAATTGAATTATGATGACTGTCAAGACTAGAATGCTTTAATACAACTAGTTGTGATGGATAATTATTTTTCTGTCATCCTTTTCCTCTCTGGCCATATTATGCCCTTAATTGTTTCGGCTTGGTTGCCATACAATTCGGTCTTTTCGCTTATTGGCGAAATTGTGTACTCTTAAAGATGGCCAGCAATATGAAGTTTAACACATTTTGCGGTAACCCCCGAGGCAAATGCGATCAAATTTGGTGTGTGCTATGACAAAGACTTTCTATTTTCGAGATTGTGAAATTCTTTCGTTTTTATGCAGGAAAATACAGTATTTTTACCAAGTAAAATCATATTTATTAAAGTTATTGTTTGTGTCTTTGAACACGCTACATAGTTTGTAATTTTATTCAGCTTTTTTCAGTTATAATTCAAAATAAATAAATGGCAACATTCTTTTGTATTCAGTAACTATGAACATTATTTATGGGTACATAGAGAATAAATTTCGTTATAAGTCATTCCTAATATATATTTCTGAATTACCAAGTCAAAATCATTTTTTTTTTGAGAGTTCATTTCTCTCAAAAAACGAAAGAATTTCACAATGTAAAAAACAGAAAATCTTTATCGTAGTGTTTTGTGTTTTCCTGCACATCGTTGAATACAGAGCATTTTTATTATGAGAATTTTCATATGAAATACACATGCTCATGTAATTATTCCCTGATCTGATAAATGTTAATTTCCGTTAATCCGCAAAATATTGTCAAACACTGTTTTAGGCAAAACTATACATAACCAGATATTTAAGACGCCCTCTATTGCCAACTACAAAATTTGTGTTGCAGTGTGAGGGCGCATGATACAAAGACGGATTGTTAATCTCAGCATGGAGGTAAAAACACAAGAAGCGCTGACGCCTATTGTTTCCTTTGTGTACTATGATAGTTGGCGATTATTTGCCAAGCAAACAATGCGCTGTCCGTTTTCCTGTTGTCTACTTAATCCCTTAATGGGGATTGTCTTTCGACAAAATTTGCAATGTGCAGAACCAGAGACACAAACATGCCATCGGGTGTAACACGAATTCCTATCAAAGTTTAACGCCCTACCATCGCACCAATAGTCGCGATTTTCGACAACCGCTCGCCGTCGTTCGCCAGATTTAACACTGGTTTTCAAAAGCTGAGGATGCAAAGATTCTATAAAAAGTTAAATATTTTTGCGTAATTCTGTGGATCATATAAATGAAGCGTTTCAAAAGCTGACTCGTCAGAGAGCATAACATATAGTCAGTCTCCAACTACAAACGGGATTAAATGTCCAAGTGTCTAGTTTCCAGTGTGTAGTGTGAATGGTGACCTCTTGTTCTCAACAAATATCACTGCACATGGGAAACGACCTCATTTCTGTGTAATCTGAATATTACGGTCAGCACACTAGTTTAAACAAACGGAAACTATCATCAAGTTCAAACACCAGGAGCACAAAAGGATTGGGAGCTTAAATTCAATAAACAATTGAATTTAATAGGCTTATTTCCCGTCAGTGCTCCTTCTTTTTTACCTCCGTGATCTCAGATCTAAATAAGTCGCTACTTAAATAACATCACATATAATAAACAAACACATAAATATAAATATGCAAACTTACAAAAAATCATATTTTCATCTTTAGACGAAAGATCTTACATTATGCACCGTGTCATGGAAGTCTAATATATAGTATTTTGCTACTCTTACACAAAAACTTTGAAGACAAAAACGCTAGTAGGTTAGGAAGATAGATTAATTCGTTAGGTTTGAAGATGGCTGCTATAAAATATATAAAGTTCAGTTGGCGCTGTTCAATCTTCATTGTGCCTCTAGTCAAAACGTATGAAGCTTTCTCTGTTTATAAGTTACGTATCAAATAGATGTAGACACGTATATATATTATTTATAATTATTCGTTATTGTTATTCTAACTACCATTGGACATCAGTTTGCGTATTATTATAAAGTTAACATGTGCATACCATAGTTGGCCAAATGTAAATCCTCTAAATTGAGATGTGTCTGGACTGATTGTGGCTGATTTAATATTTTTGCTCAACCCTTCTGCTTGAAAGGCAAATGAAGAATATATATTATTAGAGTTATTATGCAAATGATCTAATTAAAGTATAAATAAAATAATATAAATACCATGTGACTGGCATAATTGCACTGAGATTAGACCAGATTATTGCAGCAAACCAATAATATATTTATGGGGTATTTTGAATACCATACCATTTGTAAAGTAACTCCCTGCAATGAGAAGTTGTTTTTGACTGTCATTATTATGCAAATGAAATTTTAAATACCATATAACTTCCCTGAATACACTTAAAACAGATTACAATTAATAAAGATTAAATCAGATTATCCAATAGAGAAAAACACTAAAAATGCGTATTGTGCAAATAAGCTAATTAAATTGTAATTAACAGATTAGTACAATTACCATGATGTAACTTGCCTCA